TTTTTTTTTCTTGGTCGCTTGAATAAAGCGAATTTTTTTATTTTTGGTGAAAAAAAAAGCTAAATGCATTAAGAGGAAAGGAAATGGGGAAAAAAAGCGGAGCAATAAAGATACTTTCATCCATCATTTAATTCCTACTGCAACAGTGAAATCCATGCAACAAATTTGATTCCACTAATTTATCTTCTCATCATATGTTTATGCTAAAGCAAAATATTTAGAATCGATTGTTATTCATTTTATGGCAAAATAAAAGAAAAAAAAAAAAGAAAAAATTTTTTCTGGATTACCTGATTTCTTTTTTGGTTTGAACTGTTAACTGTTGTTGTTGGTCAATAGTTTGTAATGGGAATCAGATACTCGGATACTGTGACATATCCGATTCGTTCTGAGAATCGTTGATCAATGCTGTGCGACAAAGCAAAATAAAACTGATAGCTGTAGTCAGTAAATGATTAAAATTTTTTTTTTGAGTTAAATTTTTTTTAAGCCAATAAACCACAGAATTTTTGTTTCTTGTTATGTTTCGTTTTGCTTCGTTTTTTTTCTGGTTTTTTTGTCTTTGCCGAACATCTAAAGAAATTTGTTAAGTTTGATGATGTCATCAGTGTGGGCGCAATTCGTGTCAATCAATGGAAAACCATCTATTTATTTGTTGTTATCCACCAGAAGAAAAGTGTATTTTTTTAAAAGAAATATAAAAAAAAAGCAGAAAACAGTTTTAAATTACTGAACTGAACTAAGCGGGGGAAAAAAAAAATGGTGACGGTTATTGATAATATATTTTTAAAGAAAAAACAAAAAATTTTTATTTCTGTTTAGCACGGAAAAAGAACTTTCTTTCATTCATCTTTTTCGTGCTTTTTTTTTCCTCGTCTTTTTTGGTTAACTAAATCAGTGGAGTATCCCATGAGTGTTGTTTGGTTTTTTGGTTGTTTTCTGCGATTTCAAAACTGAAGAAAGAGCAAGAAAAAAAAAGCAATTTTAATTTATCTGCTTGAAAACTTAACAACAAAAGAGGG